AAATCAGGAAAATATCTCTGTTTCTCAGTATCTATTGTATTTTATTATACATGATTAAGACTTAACATAAGATATAAATAGATTCAAGAGATTTTATTTACCGTAAACCAATTTTTACAACATGAAGAAGAAACTTCTTATCAACATCAGTTGAAGCTATTTCTCAAGAGGCTGTGTCTCAATCGATATCTTCGATTCCAAAGCTAGCTTTGTATTTGCGATATCTTCTGATGGAGCAATCTGAAACGTGCCCGTTCGATCAGCCTGTCAACTCAACGCACAGCGCGAGAGGGAACTGGAAACGATCAAAAAGAAACGCGAGACGCACGCTCGAGGTTATCTCGCACGGCGGTGATATCGATCTCGATCGCAATCTCTACTTGCGCGCGCGTAGATAACGAAACGATTTTCTTCGCGGCGGCCTCGAACGAATCAATGTCGCCGATCGACGGTTTGGTCCAGGAACATCAACGGGGAAGACCGTATTTGGTTGCCCGGTTGGCTTGTAGCAACGCGGCGCGCGCGGCAACTCGTTGAGTCATCATCATCATCGTTCGTCATAAATGCTGCTGCCGCTGCCGCCGCCGCTGCTGCTGCTGTATTCGACGTGTCTCTTCATAATGTTCCGAAGGGCCACGGCCGATCGATAAAGCCGTGCGTACCAGAACGCACGCACGCATGCACGCACGCACAGAAAGGAATGGAACGTCGCACAGGCCGCCTACTGTCTACGCCAAGCTCCCGTAGAACTTCCTCAAGGTCGTCCGGGTGCTGAGACTCGTCTGCTGTCGAGGACTCGTCGCCTCAAAATGATGGATTTATCCCTAAAGAACGAAAGAGAGAGAAAATATGGCAGAGAGAGGGGGGGAGGGGGGAGAGAGAGAGAGAGAGAGAGAGAGAGAGAGAGAGAGAGAGAGAGAGAGACCGCGGAGTGCAATCATTTAAATTTTTTCAGGTGTACAGATAATTTTTTGTTTTTCTCCGAAAAATATCAAAAATTGTTTAAAATTGAAATATAATTTTTAAAACAGGATACGAAGATATTGTGCGAGTTTTATAATTATGCGATTTAATATAATTCTGCGCGAGTATAAAGAATATATGGATGTATGTAAAATAATGACGCGAACAAGATCGTTCAAAAAGAAGCAAGAATCTGTCGATGTTCAACCGATAGTCCCAGCGCGTTATATAATTTATTGTCGTTCTTATTATATATTTGACTTCTAAACGCGGTCGTGATTATAGGAGCCTCGCTTCTATAAATTCCTACGCAGCCATTCTGCCTTCTTACGACGCTTCTTTGTTTTCTTACGATCAAATCTGCCTTCTGATCTTTTATCTTATTTCACCATTTCATTACGACTCCGTGGCTGAATTATTATCGCCGCATCCGAGAGGAGGAGTTCGATGAGAAAACCGCCGTCTCCCGCGTCTCCCATGCGATTCGCTTTCGTTCGTGGATGCGGCTCCGATGCTGTATCTCACTGTGGCTGCCTACACGCGAGCACTCGCGAGCGCCGGCACACGGCTGATCGGGACACGATCGCGAAACACTTTCACGGTGGTGGCCTTTCGCGATGCCTCTCGTGGGATCTCCGTGGCTTGCGGAATCGGTTAGATATCGGTTAGGGCCGAGCGACCTGGTTTTGGACGCTAACGAATGTCGGTGCCTTTCGACGTGCGTTCGCCTCGAGTTAGATGTGCCGTTGGATTTGTTTGTCTTGGACGTCCCGCGCGATGTATAAACCAGCCAGATGCGAGTAATTTGGTCTGAGAATATAAATTCGTTTGAATTGATTTTTTTTTACATCGTTTAACCAAGCAAATAAGCAGCTAAATCAATTGGAGTATAAATCTGAGATTTAAATACACACCGTAGGAGAGGATTATCTGAAAATCGAGAGCGAGAATAGGCGCTATAATAAATTAAAGCAGCGAGAGGCGAGCATATCTTTACTCGTCGCTGCAAGACGTTTGGACGTCAAACAACTAGAATCCGCAGTCGCACGATGAATGACCATTAACGTAAATTTAATGTCGCCAAAACAGAGACGCCCACGAGATCGCTCGGGGCGCGATGGCGAACACGATGGCAAACGCGACCTTGGCTAACTCGACTCGCGTTAATCTCGCGCCGCCCTCTTCAAGGTCGCTCCCGCGAAAAACGTCCAGGAATACGTTCGTAGGCGCGTACCTCTCGCAGCCCGTACCTTTCTTCGGTGCGCAGGCTGAGTGCAGCAGGAGAAATGACTGTCTGGCGATGCTATCGTCCCCTTAACTACGAGTTATGCCCCGGGCGTATCGAACTCTTCCTCTCGTGCGCCATAATCCCCCTTTAGGATCCTTTTCAAGCTTTCGATAGCGATTATCTCGTTTAGGCGTCGTAGCGAGAAACTCTTCTGTAAGATTAAACGGTTGTATCTGGCTTCCCGGAACGGAGCACGCAGCTACGACACGGGCTGTAATTTCGGCGCCACGTGACCTAAATAAAATCACACACACGATGCCGAGATACTTGTTCCTTTAGTCAGGAAGATCAGTGACTCTCAACTGTTTCGGCTCGGTGCAGTCCTCGATTTCAAATTATTTCTTATTTAAATGTAATTAATTCGACATAATTAATTAATTCAATGAGGTATAATCTGACAAGCTTAGAGTAGATGGCGCTGCAGTGGTTGGAGGTCACAGATTTCGCGTACTTATAGGTGACTCGATCTTGTAAGACAGCAAAAATTATTTTGTTGCAATGCCTCAGTGTTGTGTTGTTCCTAAATGCTCAAACAGAAAGTCAGGGCGTCGATTTCCTCGCGATAAAGCTCTCCTTAAAGCATGGATAATTGCTATAAGACGTGACAAGTTTACCCCGACCATCTGGCAAGTAGAACGCCAGATTTCTTCTTTTGAGCTCCTCCCGCAGTTCTTTTACTTTTAAATGACCATATTTTTCCATTTTTACTATTTAAACATTTCGCTGACGATGATACACTGACCTCCAACTACATCAGCGCACTCTATCGGGAACAATGGCGTGCGAGAATCTAATTTAAGTAATATGAATTTTTGAACTTGTTACTATTAAAAGTAAATCCTGTCGTTAATCCCATGAGACAATGTTGCTACTTTACGAGGGCAACAATTGACAGATACGCGTGCAGAAAAACAACATGTAATTTTAAATATATTATAGCTTTTACAGCAATGAGAAGGAAAAAGAGGCACTCTGTGCAATTAATAGCTAAGATTATTTACGATGAAAATAACAAGTCGCTTAATTTCGTGTAGCTCTCATATAAATTTTACCTTGGATATGCGTGTCAATCTAATGTAAATATTATTTAATATTTGAGACGTAATTTTTTAGTTTTCTGCAATTTATTTTTCTGTATATTTTATTTTATAAAACTTACAAGAATGGGGAGCATGCAAACTCAAATATTAATCTGACTTAGACATCTTTATACAGATTCCTGATAGAAAAATATGTAGTATTTGAAACTATATTGTGTCTATGAGAACTATAATACATTGTTAGGTCAACCATAACTTACGTAGTTGGAAGAATTATAAAGATGTGGTTGGCTCCTAAAACGACTATAAATTACAGTGAGATTGTGGTAACTGCAACCATTTTTTCTGTCAGTGTATGAAATCCGTATGAGGTGATTAGCTGAAGCGAGAACGTTGCAACGTGCTTACGATAGCCGATGCGAATCTAATGGTTATTCGATTTCCAGTCTCGTCCTTTCCATCGCGATTCGACGTATCGAGACACGATTCCTAAGTCTAATAGCATACATTGAGAGCCTCTCGCAATCTTGTATCTCGAACCGCATACGCTGACACGTGTTCGATATATCTTCTGGTTCGCCATGCCTGTGCAGAGCATGCCGCATATATCATTTTTCCTTTTATCTCAATTTTGCCTCTGCGAGAATTTCGCAGCGTTGAATTCGAATTTTCAACGGTACAAGCTGGATTAAAGAAACTTCGGCGAAGTATAAGATTCCCGAAACTGCAAGTTAATTAGAAGACCTTACTCCTCAGTTAATCTTAGGAAAATTCTATTTTAACACCTTCAGACTCTCTTTCTCTCTCAATGGTCGAATTTCTTTAAATGTTGAAAGTTAAAAGCCGTAGAATTAAATGTCTAATGAAAAATGAATGAAGATCTTGGATAAACCAAAAGATTTACAAACGTAAAGAGCGACACGATATTCACCGCGATCGAAAATATTGGGAGAAACGCGAAATATTATAACACGTCGCATGCCGTGGGAAAAGTGACTTACTCTCGTTCCTGATACATGAACGTCTTAATTTTTCTTCTTTTTACGGTGAAAAGTATAATGAGTAGATCGTCACAGATAGCGCGTCGACTTGTCGATACAGGACGTCATCAAGCGTAATTGTCAACCGCAGCGGAGGATCCTAATGATTCGCTACATGACCACGTGTTATTTTACCATTAAGATTTTCACGGCATTATTAGGGTTCCATGACGTGTTCCACGAGTATCCGCTAATTTTAAAACACTTTCGTGTTCACTTTGGATAAAGATCCTCGCGAGATGCGCGTCTTAATTGAAGTCGGAGAATTTCAACGTGTCGAGGAAAAAAGAAATATTTCTTTTACATATCAGGAATTAATTGATAATCCTTTATTCGCACATTTACGTTACGGTTATAATATATGGAGAATTCTAACAAAATATTTCAAATAAAATTAATTACGTTTCTAATTTTTTATGGATAGAAATAAATCTGATTTTAACTGCGTAACTCGTATAGATTAAAAAAAACATGTTGCGATCATGGCAATATATTAGTACGTTATTAATAATATTTTGGGCAACTTTAAATAATATTTTCTTTCGCGATCAAAAGATTGATTTCTCAGCAAATTTTTCAGTTTATATAATTAGAGAAATTGATTGACTATTTTAATTAATGCGACAATTAATACCGCGTTTAAATAATTACAAAGTAACATCAGTATTTTTATTTCACCTCTAGGCAATTTTAAATCGTAAATAATGTAATTGCAAGTCTTTAATTTGACATTTGAAAGTTTCTGGCTTCAATTGCTCAATGTAGCAACTGTGAGTCGCTGAATCAAATCGTATTAATTGCAACTTGGCTGGTTTGATATCCAACCTCTTTGCACCATCGAGTGTATTATATGTGATTGATGGACGGAGCCCGTTACTCGCTCCGTGTGGTTGATTATTCGGTCGTAACAACCAACTTAAATGTACGCGTGCGTGGAGAAATGCCAGGCAAGCAATTTGAGAAATTGTGATGCCGCTTCGGGAGTACGGCTAATTAAAAACCCTGCTTTGTGCGATCGTATATAATCAGCGCATAAAGGAGACCATACCAATTTCCTACTCGTGATCCACAAATTTGTAGACTTTGCTCGAAAAAAGAATAATTAACTTTCGCGTCTTTAATTGTGCCGTATATTAAAGTGAATCAAAATTTTACGACACGTACTTACCATTTTTCTGTTAACTCGCACATTTATTACTTATTTTGATTTTAGAAAATTGTGGATTCAATGTTTTAGTTTACCATGTGATTAGAAACTGCGAAAAAATAAAATTGACCCAAATTGTATATTTCAGTGAAATTATAGTGTAGTTTTAATTATAGTGTAAAGCGAATTATAAAAGTGAGATATACATAGTGGCGGTAAATTAAATCGCGCGATTGCTGCATCGGTTTCCAGCAACACTCCGATGCTTTCACAAGCCAAGAAATTTTCGCTGCTAAAGATCCCAAGCCGTAAACATAATTCGCAACGAACACTTTCAGTCGCACAAGAATAATGTTTTAATTTGATTCGTTCTGTCGCTCGCCGCTGGCGATTATCACAATTGCGGAAGGAACGCGGTGGTTTATGGCGTCTCATGAGGACCGTAGATTACCTAATTATCCATTCATTGAGGTTAACGATGTATAATTGCGGGCCCCGGGAATGCAAGTATCCACACGACACACGTCCAAGTGTCCACGTTACGCCATCGCTGGCATTTGAAGCTAGGTTGACGCCGAATCATGACGCCGTGGCCTTTTACAATTCTTATCAAGCGCGACTTGCGATTAAGCGCGCGTTTCTTTCACTCGCGATGCGTAATCGCGTCGGTCACAATAGCAGTGAAAGTAAGGTTTCCGCGAGGTCTCGCGGACAACGCCGGGTCAGCACACGAGTAACGTTCTCTAGTTATTATCGTTTATAATTAGTGCTTGTGCTTATCGGGAGGCCGGCGATATTTTATTTCGGCAACTTTCCCTTTCTGTTAAATTCCGCCAAGACTTTCGCCGTTTCCTCACTCCTCTGGACGGGAATCGTACTTGCGATCCCGCGACGTGTCTCCTGCCGACGCACGCTCGCAGACGCCACGCGCACGGATGACCGGATCGCGTAATCGTGGCGTTTTTAATCGCGATCGGGAAATCGTTCCGCCCGACGATCGATGGCGGAACGAGCGAGACGGTTCAGCGACAAATCGTGATTATGGTGTCTGCCGCGTGCACTAAGGGGCTACTTCCTTCTTACGAATAGAAACGGGAAATCTTCCGTGGCGCAAGAGTTGCATGTTGATTAAAACTGTGCATAATCGATGAAATGAGACATCTTTTCCAGCTATGTTTATTAAAGCTGCGTGGTGGTTGAGATTATAAATGTCAGTATCGAGCATTTTCGTAAACGTAGACCGGGAGCATAAATGTTGAAGACATTTTTACACGCGGAGGGAATTTTCTCTTCAAATTTATCCTGAAAATTATTTGACATTTTGTTAGCTCAAGTTTTAAAAGAAAATTCTCTCCATGTATACTCTTTGTACTTTTTTCACTCTCTTCGCTTTTACATTTTTATTATATTTATTCGAATGCTATTATTCTTCTTTCGTTACTATCTCTGTAACGTATTTTTCATTGAGGTTTTAGTATATTGAAAATTATGTTCGAAATACTTCAATTCTAATTTATTTTCTATTTTGTATCTACATTATTATAGATCGCGTAAACGCAAAGTGATCCAAGTGTTTAAAAAGCTAGTCGTAAGTGTATCGAAATGAAATTGCCTTTACAGTGAAAACTATGTTGTCGATAAAACTTAACCATGATCGTTTTGCAGAAGAACATTTTATGCGTTTAGCATTAGTGTTTCAGATGCATAAAATTTATTAAGAGCTTCATGTCAAATAAGTTAAAAATATGTTATTTACCTTTCTTTAATTAAATGTTTTCACATATAAGAGTAATAAAAATTAAAATATGATTTAATTAAAGAAAGGGAAATAATATATATTTTAACTTATTTGACATAAAGCTCTTAATAAATTTGTTTTCACATGTAAGATTAAACGAGTTCAAGTTAACATTACACTCGTGACACTTGTGATATTCGGAATAATCAGAAAATAGAGTACGAGCATAATGGAAAGTATGTCAATAGGATTACTTGGAATTTATAAGCAGTTACAATCATTCATTCTTGACTAGGAGAGTAAAAGGAAGGATATCTCTCTCGAAGTATTTTCTTCTTTCCGCTCCAAATCTCTCCCAGGAACACATTGGGTCGTTTTCGTTGCGCAGTATTGATATATGAAACTTAATTAGCTGCGAGCGGCTCTGCGGCACTCATCGTTTATTAACGCCCGCGAGTGCGCGTTCTGCGTTACGCGCGAATGCGTCAGGTGCGCGACTAACGCGAACCGCATCATCTCTTCCCCGCTTCCGAAGGAGAAAAATCGTATCCGCCGAGCGCGCACGAGATGCAATCGCCGATAAAATCCGGTCTGTTATCGCGGCTGGAACTCTTCCTGCGGAGTGCGGAAGCGTTAATTGCCGCGCTATACGCATCGCAGAAAAGAGTGCACGGGCCGACGTCCACTTGCACTCGCGGCAAGGGCCCGCGGTCGAGTCGCGATCCATGCTCACGCAAAGTGGACACACTCCGCAATCAGCGAACTCCGATCCGCTCGGGGTTTGCGCCCGAGATAGCGTCGGGACCGCTGCTCCTTTTTGCGTTCGTTCATGCGTGTCATTTCTCGTAATTCGTGTCGTTTCCTTCGCCGCTGCTCTCTCGAGCCGCGGTAGCCGAGCTGAATTCTCACTGATGCGAGATAAGAGACGGATCGGTGAAAGTAATTAAACAGTCCGCCTGGGAGCATCGAACGCATCGTCCGTGGCGGAAACGCGTTTAACCGTTTCAAAATAGAGATCACCGCGAGTGATACGTTCGCGTTTAATCGAGCGAGCGAATTATTGTGAACGTTCCGCCTGATCGTTACTGTCGGAAATTCTCCCGTGGAGTTTCATCCCGGGCCTATCTAATGCTAGAGCTTGCTACTCGACTAACCCTCCCGTGTAACCCATTTCCTGTCTCACGTTGATTTCTCTCATTAATCCTTCATTTGTATTCGAGACTAATAGACACGTCCAGAAATTAGAAATGTCGCAAATAAAAAGTCACTTTAACGTTGTTACACTTATTGACAAAGATGTTAAGCACTCGGAAATGATTTTCGGAGAACAACGAAATTTAATGTACAATTATTACATCGCGGGCAGATGTGTAAGTGATTTCAGTTCGAACGAGCACGTCGGACTGACAATTAGAGGTCATAATTGTCACCACTACCGTAATGTAGAGATAACGGTTACCGTACCACTGTGTGTAACAGGCTGAGTGTGCAGTGTTGAGAGGAGGTGGGCTAATATAAAACACGTCCCGAAGACACGTTCCGCGATCAACAATTGACGGAATTCGTGAGGGAATCGTGGAGCCGCGCGTAGCAGAGCGGTAGTTTCGTTTAATTGCCAGACACCTGAGGCGTGTACAGATGTGACTGTGGGGAGGTGTTGAGATCAGTGGATACGCGATGGGACCCACACACGTCGGAAAGGGTCTGGGAGACGCAGGCAGGCAACCTCGAGGAAAGATCATCGCATAGTGAGAGAAGCGCGAAGACAACCGGCAATTACTCTATCTACCGCACAAAGACATGCAAGGGATTCTCAGTCAACAACTTGTATCATCCCACACCATTGCGAGGCGACTGGCAGCGGCAAAATTGCATTCTCGCCACCCTCTACGTTGTCTGTGCCATCGGAACATCGGCTTCGTTTACAGTGGTGTCACGGCATGCCGGGAGGCATGCTGAATAGCGATGCATCGTGTTCAATGAGTCCCGCTACTGTTTAAGCACGGACGATCGCCGTGTTCGAGTATGGCGAAGGACCGGGGGAGCGATCGAATCCCGCGTTTATCGTTGAGCGACACAGAAGCAACGCCACTGGCGTGATGTGGCGAGCTATGATTATCGATCGCAGTTGGTAGCGATTCGGAGATCAATAGCAGTACGAAGATGTTGAAGATATCCCGCGACCTCGTGTGTTACCCTTCATGGCAGACCACCCAGGCTCCATTTCTCAACTAGATAGTGCCCGCCCACACACAGCTCGTGCTTTCCCGCAATGTTCGAGTAATGTTGAGATTCTTCCTTGGCCCGCCCCGGTCTTCAGATTTGTTGCCAATCGGGCATGCATGGGGCCAGTTTGGAGCAGCGGTTACAACAATTGTGGATAGATCTGCCACAAAACAACATCCAACGTCTGCACGACTCACTTCTAGATCGCATTTCCCGCACACCGGAAGAGCTGCTCTATCATACTAAAAATAAGATTAAAATTTACTACCAATTCCACGGCCAATTTGCCAGTGATATTATAATCAGTTTCGTGCATATCGTTGCACGCATTCAGTTTTATTTCGTTTCAACGCCTGCTTCTATAAGCGCTTAACTGTTTCTGTCAATAAGTGTATCAAATATCAAGGCGAATGCGGAATTTTGACGTTGTATTTTAATATTATAGGTATATAAATGATCGGCGGATGTACATTAATTTCGTGGAAAAATTGGAAAGCAAGCAGTATTATATTATTATGCTACCGATATCGCTGCAAACGGGAAGTGGCCGGTCGAACGGAAGCGAAACCAATGAGCTGATTGTGTAACACTAGTTCCCTGTAATGTCGTTAACCCTGGAAGAGACAGCGTTCGTAGCATCATACCAGGATTCAGTCATGTTACAGCCGAGAAATACATAATTTCTTTATCGAGTCATAAAAATTGTTTTTTTTTTATTGAGAAGATCTAGACTTTGTAGTCTGCATATAACACTGATTTTTTAACTGCCGAAGTTATTCAATATATTTTTTTCACATACTGAAATCCTCCTGGTGACCAGCGCTATGTTTAGCTACGATAAAAAAATTATCGCAAAAATTTGAGCCAACACTCAATTCAGAAACAATTAGTTACGAACAGCATTGAAATATTGAAATAGAAGAAAAGGAGCATATTCTTTTTATTCCAATGTCAATTCGTAGAATTTCGAAAGAATATTTGTCTCGTTTACGTTGCATTTCAACCGAAGAAGTCGCATCCGAGACGAAGCATTCTGGTCTGTCGGCAACTTAAGTTTAAACGTCTCCTTTGTAGGCGACGTTTAAATATCCATCTGCGAGCGGTGCTTCGTAGTTGTGCCCTGAGTAATCGGAGATTTCCTCGTGTCTTGCTTTCAGGCCGTGAAACTGGAGTCGGTGCATCCAGGAAGGACGCGATACCTCGTCGTTGTCTCCTGCACGGGGAGGCAGGACGCCGAGGAAAGTTGCCTCCTCGGTATCGATTGTCACGCCAGGGCGACCGTCGGCCTCGTGCTCCGAGTTTTGGCCGACACCGCTATCACTCTCGACGGCGACGGGTGAGTTCGCATCTCTCTTTCCCACTGCCTATTTGCCTCGGCCACGCTCTCACCGCGAGAAGCATTGCGATTACTACGTTCTGCAATATTCCCGCGGCACCACGGATTAGCACGTCTTGGCGATTACAGACTCGCGCGGACTTTACGACTTTTTCCGTCTTATTTATGATTTGTTATATAACGTTACTCGTTAACTGCGAACGTTCGCTGATTGTTAAGCAAGAGGTTGTATCTTTTAGGATTTTTTTTCTTCTTCCTCAGTTTGCTCGGAAACACGTGATCGGGGAAAATGTGTTTCAGCTTGTTGAGTTCTGTTTCTAACGTTTTACATGCCAATAAAATACGTCGGTGAGGTATTGCTTGATAGATTAATTTCAGCTGGAAGATAAGCGAAAGGGTATCGTATTGAGGCAATGCCAAATGTCCACGAATGTTAATTGAGCGTCGCGTAAACACACTGTCATCGCTCATGCGCGAATTTGCACATCTGTAAGCGCAATAGAATGTAATGTATACCGTGTGGCGACCCTGGCATCAGATGTCTTCGGAGTTCGCGGACAGTTGAATAACAGTTAGATTAATTGCTGGTCTTATCATCAATCGTACCGTGTACATCTCAATATATTTTTTATCGCGATACAATTGATAACGAGGAAGAGATCATTGTCAAGTTTTTATCTCCTTGAGATCAGAGAAAATATTGATAGACATCCAGAACGCTCACTTTCTCTATTCGCTTTAACTCGCTGCTCTTTTGTTGGAGGAATATAAACGCAGACTGTAAATCGTTTTACCGTAAGGATATCGTATCAGAAATAGAGTAAAGCCAACGGGCACACGATACTAATTTTCCTACTGGATCGCTTATGAGAGCCAATCAGGATTTAGCTTTAAGTCACCTGATCTAAAGCCAACGGCACACGATATACTATTTTTCCTACTGGATTGCTTGCGAGAGCCAATAAGGATGCAGATATTTAGATCAGATAACTTAAGGCCAAATCCTGATTGGCTCTCGTAAGCAATCTTGTAAGCCAATCAGGATTTAAGCCAACGGCACACGATACTATTTTTCTTACTGGATTGCTTACGAGATCCAATAAGGATTCAGAGTTTTAGATCAGGTGACTTAAAGCTAAATCCTGATTGGCTCTCGTAAGCAATCCAGTAGGAAAAGTAGTATCGTGTGCCGTTGGCTTTAGCCTTAAGTCATCTGATCTAAAGCCAACGGCACACGATACTATTTTGCCTACTGTATTGCTTACGAGAACCAATAAGGATACAGAGTTTTAGATCAGGTGACTCAAAGCTAAATCCTGATTGGCTCTCGTAAGCAATCCAGTAGGAGAAATAGTATCGTGTGCCGTTGGCTTTATATTAGGTGACTCAGGGTTAAATCCTGCTTGGCTCTCGTAGGCGATCCAGTAGGAAAAATAGTATCATGTGCTGTTGGCTTAAATCTCTGCATCCTTATTGGTTCTCGCGAGCGATCCAGTAGAAAAAAATAGTATCGTGTGCCGTTGGCTTAAAACACTGCATCCTTATTGGTTCTCGCAAGCGATCCAGTAGGAAAAATAGTATCGTGTGCCGTTGGCTTAATTCATCAAATTGGGTTCACTATACCAGTTTGGGTTCACTTCTCCTACAGCTGTATTTTAAGTTTGTTGAAAAATAACATTATATGTGTGCTGATATATCCCTGCTTATTGTTCCGATCGTTTCCAAAGGCTCCGGTTGATATTAGCAACGAAGGAGCTTGAAAATAAATCATAACCTGGATCGAGACGAATATGGCGATGCTTCGTAGCTTCCCAAGTTAGTATATTTATACTCATAATTTTGGTATTATGACACATGGTGGTATGACACGTAGCGACGTGGAACTTGTCGCATTGTGATTAGAATAAAATGTTTTCTTCGACATTAAGCTGAACTAATGACAAGGTCTTATTATACAATATATATGTAACAGCCGTGTCACTTATGCCGACTCTAAATTGGTATAGTTTGCCAATTTAGAGTCAAAAACATGTGTTCACTAAATTCATTATAACTCGGGGGTTAATGCACAAAACTCAAATTTTCTTTTTGTTCTTGTTAGGAGGAAGGTTAGAGGAACACGCTTATGTCAATAATTTTCATCTTTAAACATGAATAACAACACTATAAACGTTTGTTTGAAAACCTGACCCCAAATTGGTGAATTACTCCAGCGGATAAAATTTTAATAAACTCTGTGAAGAAACTTCGAATTTCTCGCACATGCGAAGGCTTATAGTTGTTAATTAGTACAAATTCCGAATCTTTAAGGACGGTATTTATAGTCTGATCTTATATTTAAAATCGTCTTAAGTCTGGTCATGAGCGATCTTATAAGATTCCACTCCAGCTTATGAAATGACCGTAAAGATACTCGAGATCGAGTACTTAAGACTATCTTAAAGATCGGACGGCGAATACCGGTCCAAGTTTACATTTTGGCTGAAACCTTTTCTTCAACGAAAGTTACGTGAACACAAAAGAACGAAATTCGTTGGGTTACTTACATTCTTACGCTGTTAAAGCTAAATTCTTTTTGTTTATATCGAACGCACGCAGACACACACACACACACACACTGGTGTAATTATCCTTCATAAAATTTTCTTCAAATACAGACCTAATAGTGTAAGATAAAATTCGCTATCCGTTTTGTCAAGAATTAAATTACTCGAGGTGTCCGTGACTGAATAGAGAAACGCGATACTTCCGAGGCACCACTGTAACTCTGCTCGAATACATTTCGTTTGATTGAAATCTTTGATGATTCAGACGTAGCGCCGACGTTACGCTGCTTTAATATCCGGCAACCTGACCGATCAACAAATATTTTCAGAGCGGCACTAGCACGCGGCCACTTTCTAACGGCTATGCCAACTTGTCTAATTCCCTCCACTTTAAAGTGACTCATTGCCACGGCTCGCCTGCGGATTGAATGTTGCACCGATAATTAACGTGGCGGTGGCGGCGGCGGCGGTGGCGGCGTGCGTACGCGAAATGAAAGGAGAATATCAGTGGGCGTCTACGCGTAGATAGCAATAGTCTAAGTATAGACTTTGTGTACCGTCTGTTTATCCGTAACTGACGTAGACAATGCAATCCACGTAGACAATGCCGGTGTCCGTGTGCTTTCTCCTCCTTTCTCCGGTTCTTTTTCCAAAGCGCAGCTTTTATTCAAAGAAGCCAAGTTTAACTCGCGATCTCGTTCTTCACGTCAGAATATTGTGCCCTCGATCTTAGTACAGTCCGATCGCATTAGTGCCGGTGTATTGTTCCTTCGTTTATGATCTTCTCGCTGGATTGATTCAGCGAATGTCCTTTTAGCGCAAATAAACGCAGCGCGGAATACGATTCAATTTATATATTCTTTCTGGTTAGTTTGTACAGATTAAGTGTACACAGATATAGTGCGCGAAGCCCCGTAATATACCTAAAACGTTACCGTGCAATCGAGAGAGGCGAACATGGAGTTGCGCGTGGAAGAGGAAATATTTGTTTATTCTTTGCAAACTTCTATAGATTTTTGCGAAACCGTGTTGTCGATCGCCCGTTCTCAGTCCGGTGCGCGTCGGCATAATATGTATTACCGCCTCCATAAAGATAAATGCGAAGGTCGCCACCGTTCTCCCAGGCGTAGGGAAATGGAGCGCGTTACCGTAAGGCACGCGTGTTGGAGCAAGGTACTTGACAGGTGAGTACCAAGGTTACGACGGAAGGTCGCGACATAGCTTGTGAAATCGAGACGCCAAGTCAAGCCGTACGGTTCAGCATAGTTGGGCTTGCCTACCGCAATGCAGTATATCGTGGACCACACGTTTTCCGAAAAGAAACTCATTACGAAAAGTACACAACACTTAGCGTAAAACTTAGCGTTACTTAAGGGGATGCTGGAGTGATTCTGCACTTTTGCACCTTTCTAACCTAAAAACTGTCAGTTCGCGGAAACATTTGTGTAATATACAAATTAAATGGCTTACGTGTACAGATCGAAAGCAGCTTGCTATTCCGGCCAAATGAAAGAACAATATGGCATCACGGAAACTAAGTTTGTAAGTCTAATAAAAAATAATAGTGAGCAACACACATACTACATGTACTGTATGTATGTGTTGCTCACTATTATTTTTTATTAGACTTACAAACTTAGTTTCAGTGATGTCA